TGGGCCGAAACAGAGACTTTTCACACATCTCAGGGCTGCAATTAACAACCAAACTCTGAGAGTAACTTGCCCTCCACAGCCCTGCTGGCTGCTCACCTTTTTCTCATCCAGGTAGATGGAGCCCAGGCGCAGGTACACGAAGTGCATATCTGCAGCATCCTCCTCAAAGCTGATCACCCGCTCGTAGCAATCCTTTGCTTTGTCAAAGTCCTTCTGCTGGTAGCACAGGTGCCCTTTCTGAGCCCAGACATTTGGATTCTGTGCACCAAAAAGCAGGAGTGAGACACGGATGGGAGAAACACCTGAGAGGGGAGCTGGGACACTGCAAGCAGCAGAAAGGAGCTGAGCAGTGTTTCAGTGTGTCATCACAACTCCCTGGGCAGTGCTCCAGGCTGGGGACAGTGTGGCAAAGGAAGGACCTGGGGGTGCTGGTTGGCAGCTGCTGAAGCAGAGCCAGGTGTGCCCAGGTGGGCAAGCAGGCCAATGGCCCCTGGCCTGTGCCAGCCATGGCATGGCTGGCAGGAGCAGGGCAGTGCTTGTGGCCCTGTGCTGGGCACTGGGGGTGCCACAGCTCCAGTGCTGTGTCCAGTCCTGGGCCCCTCAATTGTGAGGGGACATTGAGGGGCTGGAGGGGGTGCAGGGAAGGGAACAGAGCTTGGAAGGGGCTGGAGCACCAGGAGGGGCTGAGGGAGCTGGGAAGGGGCTCAGCCTGGAGCAAAGGAGGCTCAGGGGGAACCTTCAGGCTCTGCACAGCTCCTGACAGGAGGGGACAGCTGGGTGGGTCGGGCTGTGCTCCCAGGGGACAGGGACAGGATGAGAGGAAACAGCCTCAAGTTATGCCAAGACAGGCTCAGATTGGATTTTGGGAGAATTTCTTCATGGAAAGGGTGGTCAGGCACTGGCACAGCTGCCCAGGGCAGTGGTGGATTCACCATCCCTGGAGGGATTTTAAAGCTGTGTGGATGTGGCACGTGGGGACATTGTTTAATTATGAACGTGGTGGTCTGGGGAACAGGTGGATTTGATGATCTCAGAGGGCTTTTTCAGCCTAAACAATTAATTCCATGATTCTGTGATATCAGGGCAGGGTTTATGGAGAGAGTTAAGGTCAGCACTAGCAATGGGATCCCCCTCCAGCACCCTGCCCAGTGTCCTGCCTGCACACAGCATTGCCAGGTGTCATCTTCCCCCTGCTTTCCTTTCACTCTGCCTCCCCAAAGAGAGCTCAATAGCAACCTTGTTTGTCATGAAACAAAACCCAACTCTCCCAGCCAGGGACAGAGGAATAGGATATACCTGAGAGAGAAAAGAAAGGCAGATGTAGAGAGGGAGAGGCAGAGAGAGGCTCTGAGATGCTGCCTGCCCATGCAGGGAGTGACAGGAGGCTGTGACAATGGGATAACAAAGAGAGCACAGCCTGCTGTGACTGCCCTCCCACTGAATGCTCTGGACTGCTCTGGAATGGTGAATTGGGAATGAGCAGGGGCTCTGGAATGGTGAATTGGGAATGAAGGGGGCTCTGGAATGGTGAATTGGGAATGGAGGGGGCTCTGGGATGGTAAACTGGGAATGAGCAGGGGCTCTGGAATGGTGAAGTGGGAATGGAGCAGGGGCTCTGGAATGGTAAATTGGGAATGCAGCAGGGGCTCTGGGATGGTGAACTGGGAATGAGCAGGGGCTCTGGAATGATAAATGGGAATGAAGGGGGCTCTGGAATGATAAATGGGAATGAAGGGGGCTCTGGAATGGTGAATTGGGAATGGAGCAGGGGCTCTGGGATGGTAAACTGGGAATGAGCAGGGGCTCTGGAATGGTGAAGTGGGAATGCAGCAGGGGCTCTGGAATGGTGAGTTGGGAATGAAGGGGGCTCTGGAATGGTGAGTTGGGAATGAAGCAGGGGCTCTGGAATGGTGAACTGGGAATGAGCAGGGGCTCTGGAATGGTGAATTGGGAATGAACAGGGGCTCTGGAATGGTGAGTTGGGAATGAAGCAGGGGCTCTGGGATGCTAAATGGGAAGGAAGGGGCTCTGGAATGATAAATGTGAATGAAGGGGGCTCTGGAATGATAAATGAGAAGGAAGGGGCTCTGGAATGCTAAATGTGAATGAAGGGGGCTCTGGGATGCTAAATGAGAAGGAAGGGGGCTCTGGGATGGTAAATGGGAAGGAAGGGGGCTCTGGGATGGTAAATGTGAATGAAGGGGGCTCTGGAATGGTGAATTGGGAATGAAGGGGGCTCTGGGATGCTAAATGGGAAGGAAGGGGCTCTGGAATGCTAAATGGGAAGGAAGGGGCTCTGGAATGCTAAATGAGAAGGAAGGGGCTCTGGGATGATAAATGTGAATGAAGGGGGCTCTGGGATGGTAAATGGGAAGGAGGGGGCTCTGGAATGATAAATGTGAATGAAGGGGGCTCTGGGATGCTAAATGAGAAGGAAGGGGCTCCGGCTCACGCACCAGGGGCTCGATGCGCACGGCCTCGCGCAGACACTCCTCCCATCGGGGCAGGTCCTCCCGCAGCTGGTAGGTCCAGCCCAGGGCCAGGTAATAGGCACAGGTGGGGCCTCCCTGCAGGCTCAGCAGCTCGTGGGCCAGTGCCTTGTGAACAAACTGGGGAGCAACAGCACAGGGGGTGGTTAGGGGAGCAGGGACACCGTGGCACCCCAGCAGGACAGGGCAGGGGAGCTGGCTGACACCTCTCTGACTCCCACAAACAGAAAACACAAAGGAAATTTCTTTTTCCCCTCTTTTGAATGTTGGTCTAGTGGAAGATATCCCTGATCTAGTGGAAAATGTCTGTGCCCAGAGCAGGGGGTTGAAATGAGATGAACTTCAAGGTTCCTTCCAAACCAAACCATTCCAGGATTCCATTTAGTTGCTTTAAGCAACTCTTTCTGCCGTGTCCAATTTAGGCAGGCAGCAGAATGTGACAACCAGAGATGTCCCAGAGATGACTTGGTAGGACAGGCACATTCCACAGCTGATACAAAAATCCCTCCAGCATACACAAGTGTCTGAATCACAGGAGTTCAGGCATCTTGGGAGCACCACAATAATGGATCCCATCTCTGAATGCCCTGTGCCATTTCTGAGCTGTTCCTGTGCAGCAGGCAGTGCTGGGCTGTGCCCACAGCCAGCATTGTGGGCTCCACACTCTGCCTGGCCACACTTCTGCATCTCTGGGCAGTGGTGGCTTTGCTCCCTCTTGTGCTCAGCCTCTGGAGTAGCCATGGCTCATTCCCTGAGGCCCAGAAAGGGGCTGGCTGGAGCTCTCTGGGAATGAACCAGCCTCCCTCCCCACTCCTCCTGCTAAACTGACCCGCACAGAGTTGAATTGCATCAGGAATTCCACTGACTTCATGAAGATTGTGCAGGGAGGTGGCTCAGGTTCTGGAGCTGCAAGAAAATGTGTCTCTGTCAGTCTCAAAGTGGGGTTTTTATTTCTGGAGCCAAAGCAGGTCCTGACATCCCAGCGGAGACAGAAAAATCCCTGCAACATGGAGCCAAACCCAGGAGGTGGCAGGGGAGGCTGAAGCAGAGATTAACTCAGCATTTCTTTCTCAAGGGCTTAAGTTTTGTAGGAGATCTGAAAAGAAATTACACTCTTCACCCACTAATTTTCCAGTCCAAAACCAGAGGAAAAAAGGTGGGAATTTATGAATTATGTTTGTCAGAGACAGCTACAGTGAGGCTCCTGCCTCCTCAAAGCAACCAGGGGTCCTCAGCAGTGCCATTTCCACCACCACAGGGGCTGTGGAGGAGGCAGATCCCACTCCACACAACCAGAGGGGATCCCTAGGGACACTTTAAGAGCTGGCATCTCAGGAGGAAGAAAAGGAAGGTGCAGGATGCAGTGATGTGAGAGGGAGAGCTGCATTCACCTGCTGGCTGTCCATCCTGAGAGGTGCTGCTCTGAAAATCAGAATGAACCTGCTTTGCCTGCACATTCCCTGGCTCAGGAGAGGCAACAGGCCCTGGCAGCACAGGGGCCAGGGCTCACTGTTCCCACATTACTCCCCACCATTCCCACAGCACCATCACCCAGCTCTCCACGTCCCCATTCCCAAACCTTGTGGGGCTTCCTGCACTGCTGGAGCCTCTTCCTTGGGTGTCTCACCTTCCTCGACCTCTGGTGGTTTGTCAGGTGAGCCATCTGGAATCTCCTCTGCTATGAAACCCCCAAGAACCATTAGGTGGAAAGCCATAAACTTCCCAGTCTAGAACATGATTCCACAAAAAAACAAAAACAAAAAACCAACCCAAAACAAAATTAAACAAAAAAAAACCCCAAAAAATCCAAACAAAACAAAACAAAAAAAAACCAAAAAGACCACCAACCCAAAAAACACACTAAAATAAAAAAAAAGAAGAAGAAGAAGGGAGAAAATATAAAAGATCTATCAGGTTTTCAAAGCTGGGAAGAAATTTCTTTGCAGGAGGCAATACCTTGGGCTGGCGTTTTTAGCACAAGATTACCATGGGAAGCCAGAAACAGGTATAAATGAGGCAGGATGAGAGGAAACAGCCTCAAGTTGCATCAAGGAGGTCTAAGTTCAATGATAGCAAAATATTTATTGACAGAAAGGGTGCTCAGGCATTGGATCAGGCTGCCCAGGGCAGTGGTGGAGTCCCCATCCCTGGAAGTGTTCAAAGGCCCTGTGGATGTGACAGCTGGGATTTGGGCTAGTGATGAACACAGCAGTGCTGGGTTAACAGTTGGACTCGATCTTGGAGGCCTTTTCCAGCCTTAGTCATGCCATGATTCTATGAATATCCCTTTCCTCATAATCAGAAGGGACAAAAACCCGCATGTGTCACGAGCCTGCCTGCCTGAGGCACTGTGCATGAGTGGTGATAATGTTAAAAATAAAGCCAGTCAGCATTTCCTGCAGCCTGGCCAAATATTTGGGACTCAGGACAGAGCCTCAGCTCAGGCTGGACTCAGAGGGGCTCCAAAGGAAGCCTTGGCCTCAGGGTCACTGCCAAGCAGCTGGTTTGCCCTTTGGATTGCTGTGCTGGGAACTCACAGTGACAGCTTCCATGGAATTCTGTTCTAGCTCACAGTCCACATCTACCTTTATTTACCCTTTGTACTTCTCCTGTTAAAAACTCTCCTCCTTCCACTGTTCACCACACAATCCACCCCTCCTTGCTGGTGTCAGGGCACCTCCTGGCTTGGTCTGTTACCTGGCTGTGAGCTGGGAGGAGTGGGCTTTTTCCCTTCTGCCTCAGCAGCCTCAAGGATTCTCCTCTCCTCCTCAAGCTCGGCTCTCAGGAGCTTCTTAGCCTCACGGAAGCTCCTTTCTGCCTGAATGTAATTATTCTGCATCTCATAAAACAAACCTGTGGGAGAGACACAGCAGCATCAGCATACACCCAAAGGAAGCAAAATGCTCCCCTTAGCCCTCAGCTCAGAGCAGGGAGAAGTGTGAGGGGCAGGAACAATGCTTGGCTCCACATGAACACCCTGAGCACCAGACTGGCTTGGTTTTGTACCTGTGAGGGTCCAGGCTATGATGCTGGGAGGCTCCAAGGAGCAGGCATCCTCAAAGAAAATCTCTGCCTCTTCATAGGTCCGCAGCTTGACACACGCAATGCCACAGAGCAGCAAGCTGGGGCAGGGGCACAGCAGTCAGCCTGGCAGCCCCACAGTGCTGTGGGGGATACACCCCACACCCTCCCCACACACCCAGCCACCCAGCAGCAGCACTCAGCACCTTTGGACGTGCTGGGGGTCCAGACAAACAGCCTGCTGGAAGCACTCCTGGGCTTTGGTGGCATCCTCATACAGGAGGCAGAAGGCTCCATAGTCCAGCCAGGCCTGGATGCTGCGCTGGTCCCGAGCTATTCTCTGCACAACACAGATCAACCAGCACTGCAGGCAGGCTCAGCAGAGCCATGGACTGGGCAATTCTGGAGTGACCACAGCTTCCCTGGCCACCCCAGCCCAGCTGAGCAGGAATCAAGACCTTGTCTGTACATGCAAAGGTGTCCCCTAAATGGGATTGTGCTGGAAGCACGTGTCCTAACCTAACACGTGTCCTCCAGCTCCAGCTGACGCCTCCTTGGGCCCAGTGTCCCCAGAACTGCCCCAGCACCTCCCATTTCCCCTGGCCTCCAGGCTGGAGTCCTCAGTGACCTGCCCAGGGACAATCTCACATCCTGCAGAGAGCAGCATCTCCCTGGGAAATCCCTCCCAAATCCTACTTCAGCCTGAGTATCCTGGTGATGCTCAGCTCCTTCCTCCCTCCCTCCAGCACAGTGGGGGCTGCCTGAGCTGTGAGCAGTGGCCCCACTGTGCTGCTGGGCTGTGCCAGCCCACACAGGTGATGGCAGAGAGATCTGGGGCTCCCTCACCTGATTGTAGAACAGAGAGGCCAGTTTGAGGTCCTTGATGGCTTCAGCTTCACGAGCAAAGAGCAGGAGCTGCTTGCTGGTTGAGTTGGGTGGAGGAGCAGGAGAAACATCTTCCCCAGACAGGAGCTGGTAGGGAAGGAGACAGTGTTAGCCCTGGGGAAGGGGAGAGTGCTTTGTGTGATCCCAGCATGGCAGCAGGTCCCACAGCAGCCCTGCACACAGCACAGACCAGTATGGCTGGGGCTGGCACTGGGAAGGGCAAGCTGCTCTGTGCTGGGACACATCCCCACATTCTCAGGTACCTCTGCCACACAGGCACAGGGCAACATCAATCTTTACAAGGACATGGAGGGACAGGACAAGGGGGAAGGACTTCCCCCTGCCAGAGGGCAGGGTTAGATATTAGAAAGGAATTCTTCCCTGTGAGGATGAGGAGGCCCTGGCACAGGGTGCCCACAGAAGCTGTGGCTGCCCCTGGATCCTTGGAAATGTCCAGGGCCTGGATGGGGTTTGGAGCAACCTGAGATAGTGGAAGGTGTCCCTGCCCATGGCAGGGGGTGAATGAAATGAGCTTAAGGTCCCTTCCAACCCAATCGTGTCTGTGATCCTATGATTATTCACAGCATTCCCTAGATCAAAGTGATGACAAACTTCAGTGGGACCACTCACTGGTGACCCCAGCTCCTGCTCTGCCCAGCCACCCTCACCATGTGCCAGCTACAGCAGCTTCACCAGTGCCATCTCACACCTACCCCAGCATTTTGAGCAGTGGGATACAAAGGGATCCCTGCCTCGAGTGTGGCTCATGGTCTACAAGTGACAGCTCCAGCAGATGAAAGCATGAGCCTGCTTCTGCCTTGAAGGCAACAGTCCTTCCCCTGCCCTGGTCCCAGAGTGAAGCCATGGCCTGAGTGACCCCCACTTCCCCCACCTTGTTCAGGGCCATGTGCATGTGGTCCACGAGGTACACATAGAGCTCACTGAGGAATGCCTGCAGCTGCTCCTTGGTCTCAAACGCCGTGGTCTTCAGGTATTTCTCCCTCACAATCTTCACCACAGAATACTGTGGAGACAAGGAACATTGCACAAGGCAGGTTCTCTCCCGTGCCCCCCACCACAGACAGAGCCTGAAGCTCCAACTTAGTTCTGAGAAATAAACCCAGCCCACCACTGATAAAAGCAAAAAGCAAGCAAGGGGGATTTCCTTTCCCCCCTCCCTGACAGCCTTTAGGGACAGCATGTGGATGGCTCATCTCCTCAGGACAGAGAGGGGGGCTCCAGGAAGAGTGTGGCACCTCCTTTCCCTGCTGGGCAGACTGGGAATGTGAGAGCAGCCAGCCTTGCCTTTCTCAGGTTATGAGCATGGGGCAAATGGATGTGAGTAGCTCCCATTGATAGGAAGTGTTCTCTTGGTGTAGGACCAAAGCAACTTGGTGCCTGCTCCATTAGAGGGGAATCCTGTCCCTCAGTGCTCACTGCAACAGCTCCAGGTGGCAGGAAAGGACTCTAGAGCACCACATCATCCTGAGTTACCACCACAGAGCAGCAGTTCCTCACTGAGAAAGTGTCTGGACAAAACAAGCAGGGAAGCAAAAAGCACAAAGGAGCCTTCACCTTAAGCTGTTCCTTAAAAGCAAAATATTTCCCAGAGGTATTGAGCTCGTAGTTGAGCTGACGTTTCTGTTCCTCCATGGTTTCGTGGTCCATCACTCCCTGCTCAAGCAGCTGCTTCCCAAAAAGCTCATGGTACTCCCTCAGGATGGCAACAGCAACACTGGTGACACGTTTGTGATAATCTTCCACCACCTAGGAAAGAAATAAATAAATTTCACAAGCCACTTATGCAATCAACCTTGATATGTATTTGATTTGCCACAGCCCACGCCTCCCATTAACTCCACCTGACTCAGGTCTCAATTAGTCTGTCACACATCCTTTCCTGTCCACGCCTGAGGGCTGAGAAAATATCTGCAGGTAAACATAAAAGAGCTCCTTCCTGCTAGGATTTTCCATCACAACCCAGTATTCCAGTCACTGCTATCTCTCTTATAGCAATATAATTGGCTGTGAGTAAAACAGATCTTATTTACTGGGAGCCTTGAAACCCATGGCCAGCCCTCTTCAGCAGAACCTGTCATCTCCATAATCTTGGTCCTCAAAAATTCTTGGTGATCTGAGGAAGGTCAGGGCTGATTCTGTTCAGGTTTGTCTGAGTCTGATGAAGCACAGGGGCTGCTCTGAGACAAGGAACTGTTGGGACAGCCCAGGATATAAATAAGGTGCTGGCAGCTTCTTTTCCCAGCATCCCATTTCCTTCCAAACATCCCCCCATGGTTGCCTTCCCTCCCTTTGCTCCATCTCTTCATGGCTGCCTTTGAATGGGATGTGAACACGAGTGATGGATGGGTTCCCAAGGCACACTGCTCTGGAGATAACCCATACAGAAGTTTCCTTTTCTGTGTATTTTATAGAATATGTTGAATTGGAAGGGATCCACAAGGGTCAAGTCCAGCTGCTGGCCTTGCACAGACACCCCAACAATCCCACCCTGGGCATCCCTGAGAGCGTTGTCCAAATGCTCCTGGAGCTCTGGGCAGCCTCGGGGCTGTGCCCATTCCCTGGGGGGCTGGGCAGTGCCCAGCCACTCTTTTCCTAAAATCCATTAAAAGCTCCCCTGACACAGCTCCAGCTGTTCCCTTGGGTCCTGTCACTGCTCACAGACAGCAGAGATTGAAGCTGCAGACCCCAATGAGCTCCACCCTCAGTCTCTCTTCTGCAGGCTGAACATTCCAAGTGACCTCACACTCCTCACATTTCCCTATTCCCTTCTAGACCCTTCACCACCTTTGTGGCCCTGCACCCCTGATCTCTCCAAACCTCATCCCCACATTGCTGTGGGCTGAGAATGAAGGCTCTGAGGGCAGGGTGGGGTGCCAGGATGGTGGCAAGGCCACAGGCTCTCACCTTCTTGGCTCCTTCTGTCCGTGGGGCCAGCGCAGGGCGGGGAGGAATCAGCTCCTGCACCCTGTGAGTGAGAGCAGAGGAGAATCAGCAGAGCCACTGCCAGGGATGCTGGCTTGTGTAGTGTGAGGGCTCCACCCTGCCATCGTGTCCTTGAGACACCTCACAGGCACCTGGGAGCAAACCTGAAATCTCAGAGCAAGAGTGAACAGCTCCCTGCAACTGATGGTTGTGCCTTGTCATGACAGGGTTAACATTTATTGCCAACCCAAACTGCTCTCCTGGAGCAGCAGAGCTGAATCTTGGAGCTCCTGGCTCTGCAGAACAGGTGTAAGGAAGGGACCAGCCTGAGGAAAGCAGAACTGGGTCACTAAACAGCCCAGACCACAGTTCCAACACTGCCCAGTCTGGCCACGGCACCCTTGGGCACACATTGACCCCCAGACACCAACCTCAGACCCCCAGACACCCCCCAGCCCTGCCTGGGCCTCTGTGCAGTTACAATGACCTTCCATTAGGATCAGCATATTTCTAACTAAAATTTTGTTAAGGTGAGGGTGGCTGAGCACTGGAGCAGGATTCTCTGGAAGTCTCCTTGCCTGCATCTACCCAAAAAGCATCTGGACACAGAGTAATGTGCTCTGGCCAGCCCCAGTTGAACATGAACATTGGTCTAGATGACCTTCAGGGATCACTTGCAAACTCAATAATTTTAGGATTCTGGAATTAAAATCCCTGGTGCCAAACCAGCCTTAATTAATTTTTTTCACTATTTCCTGCTTGCTGGACTCCAGAACACCCTCAGTCCTCAGAACATGATCCATCCCACCAAGCCAAGGTACCACAGGCCTTGTTCAAGGAGGAGTGACACTGAATCCACACACACTGCAGAAGAACAGAAATGTATAAAATAGGGCAGCGAAAGGTCTGTTCTAAGAGGGGTTCACCTTCCTCAGCCTGTTCCTCCTGGAAGACAGCAGGGAGCAGTGAGGACAACACATATACCTTCAATGAATGACAATTCTGTTTGAGAGATATAAACCTGCACCTCTTATACCTTATTCATCTGCTGTATTTTCTTTTTTTTTTATTCCATAAATTAGATGTTTTATGCCTTTCTAACCCATAACACAGCAGGGCTGCCACTGGACAGGAACTGAAATCTCAAAGCAGCAGAGATGAAAGAGCAGGTCTGCAGCAGAACAACATGAAAACTAACATAAAAGCTGAGGAATGGGTAAAACATTGTGAAAAAACTTCGGGAAAGCTAAAAATGAGAGAATGCTCTGATGAAGCAACAGCAGCACTATCCAGGGCAGTCCACGCTGGTGGCCAGGACTGACCAAGCCACTGAACATCACATGCAAGAGGAAAGCACATGGGGATTAGAGGGAAACAAAGCCCAGACAGGAACACAGACATTGCTGTGCTGCTCTGGTGTCTCTTGTTTTGAGAGGAATGGCAGGGAGATGCCAGCTGGGATGAACAAGTGTTTTCCCAACACACCAGATGCCACGTCTAAAGCAGTCTGGCCAAATCCTCCCCCTGATTCCTGTGGGCTTTGTCTCGGGCCCTCTTTATGGAGTATTCCAAGGGGGGTTTGCTGTGCAAGGCTCTCTGCAGCGTGCAGAGAGGAGCTGTCAGCCCCACAGCCCATCCTTACGCACCGCTGGGCCAGCTCCTCCCGCAGCCGCTTTGGGACCAAGGGCCTGTCCAGCTTTATCTCCATCACCAGGAACGTTCCTGCCTCGCTGTAGAGCTGTGGAGAGAAACATTGCTCCTGTGCCGTGCTGTCTGCAGCCAGTGCTGGCACAGTGAAATACTGAGCACACAGCCACACATCTCCCAAGTGCAGAGATCCAGCTTGTTTTATAACCCACCCTCGGAATGAGTTACAGCAAAATCCAGCTCGAGAAACCAGGCTAGGGAAAAGGAGAGAGCCCAGGTAATCAATCTGCCTGCAGAATGAATGTGCATTCCAGAGGAAGAAGTCAAAATATGAGGGGATAATTTAAATAAATGCTTGACAATTTACAGAGACCTTCTAGCCCAGTGTGCCAGCCTGCTCTCCAGATGGACGTCACTGGAAGAACTCTGGGACAGCATCTGCGTAAAACATCCTTTGTCCCCTCACTCTTGAGGAATTTAATTGTGTGAAAGGTGTGAGACACCAGCACAGTGATGCTCTACAGTCTCTCCTTGTCTTTGGAGAGACATAATTACCTGTCCTTCAAGGCTGAGATTTGTGACATTTTCAGATTCTCCAGCGCCATCTGACAACTGGATTTTGGATGGGCTGAGTAACTCTTAGGAAAAAGAAATGATGTCTCTTGTTTCAGACTCAATAAATCTCAAATCTTTGCAAGTTCCAGCAGCACATCCAAGGATTTCAGATAAGGGAAAGCTGCAGCTTCCTTACAAGAAGCAGCTCCAATGTCTGCTCTCTGTGACCAGTGACAGGACCTTAGAGAATGGCTGGAGCTGTGCAAGGGGTGGAATAGGCTGGATGTCAGGGAAAGATTCTTCCCCCAGAGGGTGGTTGGGCACTGTCACAACCCCAAGGCTATCAGAGTTCCAGGAGTGCTTGGACAACACTGTCAGGCACAGGGTGGGATTGTTGGGGTGTCTGTGCACAGCCAGGAGTTGGACTCATGGTCCTTGTGGATGCCTTCATGTTGAGAAGATTCTATGGGTCTAGGATAATGAGTATCTCTCATCCATCCCTGGTTCTGTGTGTGCCAACTTCCTGTGACACAGAACCACAGCAACCATGGTGCCTCCCCAGACCTTACCATGGCATTGGAATCTTCCTTCAGAGGCTTGTTGGTAGCAGCTTTGCTGGAGGGAGAGGTCCCCAGCCTTTCCTTGCCCAGACTGAGCTGTGACCTGCGGTCCCGGAAAATACTGTACTGAACTCTGGTCTGAAAAACAGAGACAATCAAGGGACAAAGCAGGCTTCCTCACCCATTTGCCTTAATCTCTCTCATCACAAAACACATTGTCAGGGTCTTAAATGCCTTAAGAAGTTTTGTAACCTCATTCTCTCCTCCTCGAGCCCAGCTCTGATGCTGTGTAGCTGTGAAGCCTTGGGTCAGACTCACACTCAGTGGGGGTCTCTCCATGTTCCCTCCAAGAGCTGTGTTTGTGTTTTCACTGAGGACTGGCCCTTGGTCCTTGCCTGAGATGTGTGCTGAACGTGCTGGAACCCAGATCTGTGATCCTGAATTCCTGGTGGGATCCTGGACCTGCCCCACAGCCATGGATGTGCCTGGTGCTGTGGGCTGCTGGATGAATCTGGTTTCTCTTACCAGGCTTGCCCCACACATTTCTGAGGATCCCCACCTGTCTGACAGCATCCCTTGGCTCCCAGCTCATCCTCTGGTGTGGAGCTGCTTCCCTGACACACATTAGGGAATTGTAAGGAATAGGTTTGTCAGACTTTGTGTTTACAAAGTGTTTGACCACCCAGCCAGACTGTTCCCTCCCACACACCCTGGTTACAGGAATTGGGCTAGCAAGAGTTATGGGGGTCCTGGGGAGAGGATGGAGGAGCTGTAGGGAAACTCCTTAGACAAAGAGGCAACCCAAAGCACCTGGGGAGTAAGAAGGACTTCACTTGTGACAGATCAATATTGGGCACAGGACAAGCAGCACCATGCAGCCAAGGGGTCATTATTCATGGCAGGGAAGCAGAGCCCAGCAGACACACTCGTGCCCAGCCCAGCTCTGCAGCAGCCAGTGGGAGCAGGGAGGCAGGAGAAGGGCTGGAATTCACCCAGCCCCTGCACCTGGAGCACAGCCCCACAGGGAACATGGGGGGTAAAACCAGGCTGTACATCTGCCCTCCTGAAACAAGATCAGGTCTGTTCCAGCAGGGAGAGACTGTGGGAAAATGGAGATGTAACTGTCACTCTTAGTAACAGAGAGAGAAAAAAGAAAAGACAAATAAACCTCGGTGAGCTAGAGCTGAAAGAGCTCCAGTGACAGCTTTTTTGGTGGTTGCTGGGGGTAACGCAATCCTTTTAAAGCCACTGTTTGCTCTTCCCAGCAACACCCTTCCCTTGCCCATGTTCCAGCCTGGGGAGAGTGGATCATGCTGGCATAGGAGGGAGTGGAGTGAGATTCAAAGCCTCTCTCAGCCCTCAGACCTGCTCACCCCACCCCTAGAAATCCCCTGAGTTGGAAAAACCTGTACCTAAAAGCTTGTATCATTAATTTTCTCCATCACCAGAAGGGCACTC